ATTATAATAATAAGAATGTTGAATTACCAAAAAACGAATAAAAAAAACAGAAAGATAATGAGCGAATAGCAACAATGCAAAATAAAAATAGAGCGCTCTCAAACAAAAAAAAAATTTTCTGTCTTAAATGTAGAAATAAATAACAAAGTCACGCTCTTATCATTGATTATCAATGAAAACAACTACAGTGCACACGGAATTTTTCAGTTTACATATGATGTATTAGAATAGTAAGATTTAAGGATATATGTGAGTTCTATATTTCAGCTCCGCAGGAGCTGTGCTAACAAGCTTTTATTTCTTTTCATATGGCCCCCCTTCAGTCGAAAAAACAAACAGAAAAAAAAATTGTAGAGATCAAAAATAATAATGAATAATACAGAGGCAGTGAAAATGGAAAATTTTACCCTAACTGTAATAATGTTCCACAATAATGCAACAAAGAGCGGTCAAGTTATGAAGAAAGGAAAACTCTTGGATATAATATATTATATTTGAGGCTATCAATGATCAATCATACCATTCTGCACTATTCACAACCTGACCATATCAACTAAGCCCTCCAACAACTAACACCTTTCCATTGAATAGCAGTGATGACGTGTGGTGGTCTCGTCCAATATTCATCTTTCCAGTCTGTGTCCAAACTCCTGTTGATGGATCAAAAAGTTCTGCACTTTTCCCATAATTGCTACCTAGATATCCACCAGTAACTAAGACTTTTCCAGCAGAGAGAGTGGATGCTGAGTGACCGAATCTCCAATCCGACATGTTCCCAGCCATTGTCCAGAGTCCTGTTGCTGGATCGAACAGTTCTGCAGTAGTTACCGAGTAGACATCCCAATCTCCACCAACAACTAATACTTTACCATCGGCTAGTATCAATGCTTTGTGATCAACACGTTTGATGCTCATATTGCCAGTTTGTGTCCAGAGTCCTGTTGTGGGATCGAATAGTTCGGCAGTATTCAGACCGACACCATAGCTTAATTCTCCAACAACTAAAACTTTTCCATTCGCTAGTGTCGATGCTGTGTGATGCGATCGCCTAGTACTCATGCTGCCCGTTTGTATCCAGAGTCCTGTTGTGGAATCAAATAGTTCGGCAGTATTCACAGCATCACCATAGGTTAATCCACCAGCAACTAAAGCTTTTCCATTCGCTAGCGTTGATGTTGTGTGGTACGATCGCATAGTACTCATGTTACCCGTTTGTGTCCAAAGTCCTGTTGAATGATCAAACAGTTCGGCGGTATTCTCAAGGAAGACGTTTATAGATCCACCAGTAACTAAAACTTTTCCATCGACTAGCGTCGACGCTGAGTGTCTATAACATTGAATATTCATGCTGCCAGTCATTATCCAAAGCCCTATTGATGGATCGAAAAGTTCTGCGGTATTCAAATAGGTATGTCTGTCCTACCCACCAGCAACTAACACTTTTCCATTGACTAGTAACGATGCTGTATGATCATACCGCGAAGTAGTCATGCTACCAGTCTGCGTCCAAAGTCCTGTGGATGGATCGAACAACTCAGCAGTGTTTTGATAGATAATGTTCTCATATCCACCAGAAACTAAGACTTTTCCATTCGCTAGGATCGATGCTGCGTGATTGTAGCGATATGTAATCATTCTACTAGTACAAGTAACGTTCATCGGATTCCGATTCACTCGTCCCTAGACTGAAACACGATGACATGTGATATGACTAGATGTGAAGATGAGACTATCAAGGAGTACATCTCTGACCGAAATAAAAAAATGTGCTACAAGGAAAAAGCCGAGTGTTTTTGAATTTCGTAATTAAAAATCAATTAACAGTAAAATCAGTTTAAAGTTCAGCAGGTGGAATTACAAAGAACAGAAATATACAGGGTTGGAAATAATATTATTCCAGGGGGGGGGGGGGGGGGGGGTAACGCTATAATTACGAATAGCAACCATAATGAATTTTATACCAAATGAAAGCCCGTAAAAAATGAGGTTTCCTGATACGAAATTGTAAGGGTTTTCAAGATATTTTCATACAATACATCTTCAAAAGTTACTATAGTTTACCGATATGAAATATGAAAAAGTCTTCTAAATAGCTGCTTCCAGGTGGATCGAACAATAGGACGTAAAAGGATCGTCCTATTTCTCAATCGAATCCACGTCTTATGATCGTTTAAACAAAGATCTTTTCGATTTTTCTACGGAAAATATCTGTTTTTCTTTGCTCTACAGTTCCCTGAAAATAGATTAGAACGAATGTATTCTACGAGATTGCGAAACTTTTGAAGGTTTATTATATGAAAATATCTTGAAAACCCTTACAATTTAGTATCAGGAAACCCCATTTTTTACGGGCTTTCATTTGGTATAAAATTCATTATGGTTGCTATTCGTAATTATAGCGTTACCCCTCCCCCCTGGAATAATATTATTTCCAACCCTGTAAATGTCTAAAAGTTGTAAAAAAAAGAAATAATATTCATCGAATGAAGATTCACTTTATCGTATAGTGCAGATGGTTGAATATATTTGATTGACCGAAGAATTGGAGATTCTGAAACAAGAAATTTCGAAAGAACCAATTGTTAAGCTTTTGTAGTCGAAATTTTGGGCATCCATAGCATTCGCGAAAACTATCAAATCTCTCTACCGTTCATAGTTAGGATATCATTAACTGACAAACTGGAAAGCAATTTGGGTTTAAATATAGTGATGTTCCGTCTTTATGCATGAACAGCTTAAAAATATTAAGTAACGTCAATTTTATATACAGTATGAAAGTTATTCCTCATCTGAAGCATTATCTGGCGAGTATAAGCGGCTCAAAGCCGATGTGGACGTAGCATTGTTTTGTAAAGAGGTCTGACAACCACGGCATACGACTATCAAACCAGTTGTCGTGTCGATCCCGCGTCGTCCTAATATTGCTCCATTCACGAGAACATCGAAACCAGAAAAAGTTTCTAACGATCGCCGAACATAGCCTATTTTAATTTAGAAAACGTTTCAAAATGATGATTTGCGATCAATATAGATTCTTACTAGTAAATCGTGAAAAATCAATTTTCAGAACAGAATCGGGTATCTCTTCGCTCTGAGGTCGAAGACGATGAAGGTTCGGAAATGATCTGATAGTTAATTGTGACCAATTTTGAGTCATGATTTTATAGCCACATACAGCGCAGTTTCGGTTTATTGCCATATTTGAATCATTTCTCGCACGTGTTTTCGCCCTACGAGCGAAAGAGAAAAGAAGAATGTTTGATAGAAAAAGCAAAGAAACTGTGAGTCTTACCGATGTTGATTACGATCACACTCTAATCTAATATTTCGTTCCGCATCAGTCTCGCGCGCTCGTAAGTTTTGTCGACGGTTCATTTCTTTCTCACGCTTCGCTGTAAGACGTTCTTTTCTCTCCTTTGCGTTTTCTTTTGCACGTTTGTTGGCTAGACGTTTCACTTCGTATTGGCTACGAGATGCAAGATGCTCCTGCTTTTCTTCATTTGTTTGATTGACATGAAGATTAGCCAGTCGCTGTTTTTTATATTGTCTATCAACAGCCAGTCGACTCTCTTTTTGTTCAGCAGTCTCTACGAGTGCACGACGGGCACGAAAAGCTCGCATTCGGTCCTTAGAAGTCGACATTTGGATATCTATTGACGGCAACTTTTTGGAGAATAAGACGCTGAACAAATACTATATAGAGAAGGTGATAGTGCACATCAATATCCAACTAAATTAGAAAATTTTCACATACTCTTCAATATTACTGGAAGAATTAAAGTCAGTAGAAGACGAGTTGGCACCGTTATTTCGTTGCAACTTCGTATTTCAAGTAAGCAAACTCAATGAAAATTAAACTATTTATGATAATAACATATTCTAAAGTGAAATTAAGAAAAGCGCGATAAAACACGAAAACGAAAAGCAAATCAGAGAAGATTGATATTTGAAAAAAAAAGAACATATACGATATTTCTTTCAAAGTTTGCTAGAAAAAATTGGCAAAAGATAAAACCGAGGATGTGACTACGAAATTCACCAAAACGATGAATTTACCTCGGAGAACAGGCCAAAATACTCAAGCGACCTTTGTCACTGATACAAACAAGGACGTCACCGATACAAACACAGACGTCACAGATCCAAACACAGACGTCACCGATACAAACACAGACGTCACCGATACAAACAAAGACGTAACCGATCCAAACACAGAAAATTTAGGTTTCTAGACCCTATCCTTTCAGTCTAGGGAATATGTCCAAAGTCCAGTTGATGGATCGAAAAGTTCTGCAGTATTTCCATAGTTTTCGATATTAAATCCACCAGCAAGTAGGACTTTGCCATTGGTTAGTGTTGATGCTGTCGGATTGAGTCGTGCAATACTCCTATTGCCAGTCAGCATCCAAAGTCCTGTTGATGGATCGTAAATTTCTGCCGTCCTTTCAATGTTACTGGAGGCCATCGTGCTAACAACTAAGATTCTTCCATCAGTTAATGTCGTTGCTACGTGATTGTCACGTGGAATACTCATGCTGCCCGTCTGTGTCCAAAGTTCTGTTGATGGGTCGAATAGTTCTGCTGTATTCAAACTACCATTAGCGTTGATTCCGCCGGCAACTAAAACTTTTCCATTGTTTAGTATCGATGCTGTATGATACGAACGCGAAGTACTCATATTGCCAGTAACTGTCCAAAGTCCTCTTAATGGATCGAACAGTTCTGCAGTTTTCCAATATAAATTGCCATAAATTCCGCCAACAACTAAGACTTTTCCATTGTTTAGTGTCGATGATGTATGACCCTGTCGCAATGCATTCATTCTGCCAGAGTATGTCCAAAGTCCTGTTGATGGATCGAAGAGATCTGCATTCTGCCCGTAGTAACTGGCATATCCGCCAGTAACTAAGACTTTTCCATCGGCCAATATCGATGCTCTATGGCCACTCCTTACACCAGTCATGTTGCCAGTCATCGTCCATAAACCTGTCGATGGATCGAACAATTCTGCAGTGTTCAATACGAAATAGTTGTTGATTCCACCAGCAACTAACACTTTCCCATCGGCTAGCGTCGTTGCCGTGTGACCCGATCGCGCTGAGTTCATATCACTGACTTTGGACCATCCTAGAAAAAAGACTCCCACTGAAACAACTTTAGTGTTAATATTCAGAGGCTACTGGTCTATGCATGAGCCCATTTTTCTTTCAGATAAAAATTTTAAGGGTCACAAGATACGCACCTAAATCCGTCACTGTATAATAAGAATAACTTCGTACAGATAAAAGCGTTCGATTAGAGATGTTTGATTCAAACGTGGCCGCACTAATTTTCGACACGCTTCATTTCTAGTCTTGGTGATATTTTGATACCTAGAGGATGTAGGTTTTCTAGATATGGATGTGAGGAGCAACAAAAATAACTTTGGTAATTCATGCTTACTATTTTAATCTGAAATATATGTATGTTGCACAAAGATGTGGAACAACGCTGCAATCGAATTGCATTAATTGTATTTTGAACAAAAGACAGCGCCCTTTCTTAGAAAAGTGTGATCGCCAAAATGACATACAATGAATAACGTTAACTGTCCGGCAATTCAAAATGATGAATTTCTTCCGATGAACTGCGCTGTAGTTCTCACAAAAGTTCGAACTCGGCAAGGCTTTTAAAAGCTGCAAGTCGATATGACAATAGCAGTGATATGGGACGGATGGCTGTAAGTGTGGGAACTTTTTCACTTCCAACTACACTTACACCCACATCTGTAATTGGTAACGTAGAATCTTAGCAGATTTCGTCTTCCATTCTACATGTAGTCTGAAAAGCTGTTGGAAACTGGTTCGTGAAAAATTTGTCTATCGGATAACATTATTTTCTCGAATGGTTCAAAAATGCAGTTTTTAAGAAATCGAGACGCATTCGAAAAATGTCTTCGTTATGAAATGTCGAGAATTTTGAAATTTAGACTCGCTTCTAATTATGAGTACATGGATTTGATCAGCATAGTATTTTAACCGGACCAGTAATTAGTCGATCTGGTCTAAGATTCCCTGAGAGTGATAGATACAGGTTGTTTCGGATCGACTGGAGCAGATTTTTTCAATGTTATCGTTGGTTTTTCCAAAAATCATCATAGTGCTGTTTGTTTTCTTAAATCCAGCCATTCTTACTGGTGTTCCTGACTGTTTGTGTATGTCGGGTATGTAGTAGAAAATTGTTATTTAGTAAGTATTTATCAAAATGCGGCTAATAGATTCCATCATGTCAGTTCGAGCTCATGAAATTCTATGTTGATCAATAGATGCCAAAAGTGAAAAGCCTTTCAATAGAATTTCACTGCAGGATTAAAATATTAGATAGGATGGTGATATTCTTGAGTATATTGGAAACTTAAGGGAGAAAAAGCGAAAACTCCGTACTTCGCCTATAGTTTACCGTATTCACAGGGTATGTAAATGCTACCATTTAGAGTTTCTGAGGTAAATGGACCTTACTATCACTGTGTCAACTGAACATACTAATTTGAGATCATTTTGTATATGTCTGTCTCATACTGGATCCAAAAGGATTCATTATACATCAGAATTTGAGTATTAATGAAGTATTATGAAGTATTCGGTCTTTATTATTCGACATTCTTACAATGAATGAACTCAAACTGATATACTCCTATCATTTATTAATGCTAGACCACCCATCACTAAGAATTTGTCAAGAATAGCTTTGACTTACACTCAGTCCACTCTTAATTACGGAATTAACGCTTTCTCTTCCTTGAAGAATTTTGAACCCCCAATGACAGACCATACCGAAATCAAAATCGAGCATGTTGGAAAGCTTGCTAAATCATAACAAATGTATCGAAATCTCTTGTAATCGGTTTAAAGATCATTAGCATATTTAACGCGAATCTTGAAGTGAACTGAGGAAGATACGATCAATTTTCTTGCTGTATACTTCAACACTCATTGATAACCATGCTTCACATAAATACTGCAATAATAGGGTAAAAGTTTGACATCATTTCTGTGGCGATTGAAAGGTAGGTATGACTAATATAGATATTGATTTGACTCTTACATAAGGAGAATAGTGAAGGATGACTCATGCTGGTCTACTGACCAGTTCAGTCTAACTAGTTTATGCTGGCATTAGTAAGAACAAAGGCATAATGATAATAACGCTACTATACTTATCATGATTCAGAGTGTTAGGCAACACTAGTGTTGCTGTGTTGACAGATGCTTCGCACCAGTATATCCTCAATTTCAAGCTTTGAAAAGTTTTTGAAGAGTTGCAGGTTAGCTTCATTTAAGAAGTACTTAGAATAGTTATGAACCAGTGCAAATAAAGATGTGGGTGAAGAGAAAACAAAACTCATCCCGACAGCGAGTTGTTTCTCAAGGAGACTTAGTCATCAACGGCACTTACCAGAACTCTCATTGATTAGTCTCTGAGTATACATATGGTCGTGTTCTTGGGGTGGGTGTGCGTGGGTGCGGGTGTGGGGTGGGTGTGTGAGTATAGGTGTGGGTGTGGATGTGGCTTAAGTGGAGAGCTAGCCCCACACCCACGCTCACACTCCTTACTTCTAGAAGTTGTTGTTGTACTAGTAGGACGAGCTGCAGAAGAACAACAAATGTAAAAATTTAGATTCACGGAAAGTAAAGTACATTAATACAATATAGTAAAGCAATTCTTACTTGTAGCCAACGTTGGTAAGTTTGAACTCGTTGTTGCATCTGAAAAAGTCAAAAGATGCATTTGCTCCTTATTCTTCGTTCTAAAAGGATAAATTTAGTCTTACTCGTAACTGTTGGAATCAGAGTTGTTATTCGATCTAAGACAAAAAAAGTTATGTTTTTGATAACAGTTCGTCTTATTGTGTAATCATTGCATTCTTACGCACTTGGAGGACATATTTGAATATTAGCCAATGCCATTGGATAACAAACAGGTTGTTGACATCGTGTACTGTTAACACAAATTGTTTGTGCAATTGAACATGTAATATTGTCTGAATTACATCGAATCATTGAAGTGCAGGAAAGATCGGCAACAGCACAAATGCCCGAGACAGTTCCATTAACAGTATTGGTCAATGAAAAACATTCACAATCGAGATTCGAAGAACAGGACATAGATGACCATTTACAAAGAGTTGAATTACATGTCGCCAAGGCTAAACTGGGTGATGGTGTTGTTGATTGAGCTATTAGAGGACACGGATCAGAAAGTAGAATCATTTCTTCAAAAAGCAACGTAACACCTTACCTGTAGTTTGAAATTGACCATGGTATAGACTTCGAAAGAAAATTAAAGCAATTTTCTAGCTAAATTCTATTTAAAAACACATTGATCACTCACCTTGCCGTCAACAGAACATATAGCAAAAACATTAGAAGTAATTGAGTTTCTTTCGTTTTCTTTGTGTGTATCAATTTTAATTTACTTGCACAACTTCCCTGTAAAAAAATCGTCTTCGAATCCTATTTTCAAATATTGATAAAGAAAACAAAACACTCAGGTTTTTTCTTTTGCGACCAACAACGGAAAAATCAACGACGAAGAAAAAAGAATTTCACTTTAATATGGATATTTTACTTATGGAAGAGAGCACCTCCTACAAATAATATGCAACTAATAAACATAATTTTTGAAAGCATGTAGATTTTTTCAGTGAATTATTTTAGCTTTTCTTGAAAGTCTTTCTGACAACCTTGAACGAACGTTTCAACATGAAACAATTTCATTGAGAACCATGTGGAGCAGCACTTAGAATAAGAATCTTATAATAGCTGTTTGTAGACAGATTGATCCTTGAAGTTGGAGCGTGGGTGTGGGTGGGTGTGTGGGTGTGGGTGTGAGTGTGAGTGCGGATATCTTCACATCACTCACACCCACACCCTCAAGATTGATAGAATAAAAGGACAAGTTGTAATTTCGGAATTGGATGGAATTCCCGGGAATTCCTACCAATTCCCACCGGTTCCGGATTCGGTCGAATCCGGAATTCCTAAGCGGAATCGGATGGTCATTACGTCGATAAAGATTGATAGAATAAAAACACAAGTTGCAATTCCGGAATTGGACGGAATTGCTACCAATTCTCACCGATTCTGGCGTTGTTTAATTGTGGAATTCCGGAATTAAACGGAATTCCTAAGAGTTGTTGCGGACTCAGTTTCTATTCGATTCCGGAATCGCGGGAAACGATTCCGGGGTCGGAACTGGTTCCGCAATGTTCAACTTTGCGCAATAGGATGACTGCTCGTGTTAATCTGAGTCTGTTAAGATTTTTAGCCACAAATTCGTGAATTCTGATGCAAGTATCCTAAATCAAGCGCCGGCTTTTCGAGAAATTAATTAATTAACGGAGAGTCTTCTATTATATCCAGCGCATTGTTCCTCTAAGGCTCGAGGAGAAGGTTTAGTTCGACTAGTATCCATGTTACCAGCACAGCCATAGCTATATGAATCATTATAACAGTTGGAAATTTTGTCAATTCTATCTGTCTGTTATGATCTTTAGTAGAATGGTCCAAAATTTCTCACTAGCCAAAGTCGTTCATATAGATTCACTTACCAGTCAATCACAAAGAGAGAGTCACAATGCAGTAAAATAATACGACTAAACAGGACAAACACCAAACTCAGAATGAATACAATATATAAAAGTTAAGGCAATATAAATAGTTACTCTTTTCAATTGGAGAAAAAGGAAGAACGGACTTATTCATCGTGACTCATTATACCATTAAGAGAAATACTGGAGAACTATAAAACAGTGAGTAAATATCATACATAAAAGAAAATAATTATTACACATAAATAATAGGTAAAATAAATAAATGCTAATAATTTGAATTCATCATAATTCATGTTTCTTAAGGGGACCCATCACTGTAAAGGAAAAGGTAACTTTACCGAATCCTCCAAAAAGGTTTCGTAGATGTCTAAAAGCTTCCGAATGCGTCCAAAGGCTTAAAAAATGGTTATTAAAATCTACGAAACCTTAAGAGAGGGTCCGCCAGAAGACCTACCAGGGTGTGGGTGCGGGTGAGGGTGTGGGGTGGGTGTGAATGTGGGTGTGA